TTTTGGGGGTCCTGGGCAAGTGGGGGGGTCCAGGGGGTCACGGGGAGAAAAGTTGGGGGGGGGTTTTGCGTCTGTGGTCGCCAAGATCAGGAGTGGGTTGCTGGGGGAGATTGGGGGGTCCCCGAGGGGGTCTGGGGTCCTTTTTAGGGGTCTGGGGTCCCTTTTTGGGGGGCTGGAGGCTTTTTGGAGGGGCTGGGATCCCTTTTTGGGGGTCTGGGGTCCTTTTCAGTGGGCTGACAGCCTTCCAAGGAGTCTGGGCTCGTTTTTGGGGAGCTTGGAGAAGGCTCCGGGAGGGTTTGGGGGTCCCGGAGGTCTCGGGGTGGAATTGGGGGGCTCGGGGGGTCTCTGTGGGTCCGAGGGAGCGCAGGGGGGGGGTCCCGTGTTTTGAGTCTGGGGTCCCTCACCTTCTGGGGGTTCCCCGTTTTTCTGTGGGGGTCTCAGTGGCAGTTTTGGGGTTCCCCGGTTGTCTGAGGGGTCTGAGTGTTGGTTTTGGGGTTCCCCGGTTTTCTGCGGGGTCTCAGTGTTGGCTTTGGGGTCCCCCGGTGTTCTGAGCGTTGTTTTTGGCGTCCCCCTGTTTTCTGAGTGTTGTTTTTGGGGTTCCCCTGTTTTCTGAACGTTGGTTTTGGGGTTCCCCGCCGGGGAGGGGTCTCAGTGTTGGTTTTGGGGTTCCCCTGGTGTTCTGAGCGTCGTTTTTGGGGTTCCCCTGTTTTCTGAGCGTCGATTTTGGGGTCCCGCTGCCCCCCCAGTTCGAGGGCACGGAGGGCAGCTGGTTCCAGAAGATCTCGGCGCGGTTCTGCAGCCGCCAGAGCTTCGCCCTGGAGCAGCTCAAGGCCAAGCAGAGGAAGGACACGAGGTTCAGCCAGTTCATCCAGGTACCCGAAACACCCAAAACCAGCCCAAAACCAGACAAAAACACGCTGAAACACCCCAAAAACATCCTGAAATACCCCAAAACACCCCGAAATACCCTAAAACACCCCAAAACCATCCTGAAACACCCCAAAACACCCCGAAATACCCCAAAACACCCCGAAATACCCCAAAACACTCAAAAACATCCTGAAATACCCCAAAACACCCCGAAAACATCCTGAAACACCCCAAAACCACCTTGAAATACCCCCAAACACCCCAAAACCATCCTGAAACACCGCAAAACATCCTGAAACACCCCAAAACACCCTGAAATACCCCAAAACACCCCAAAACCATCCTGAAACACCCCGAAACACTCAAAAACATCCTGAAACACCCCAAAACCACCTTGAAATACCCCCAAACACCCCAAAACCATCCTGAAACA